TTATTATTATTTTTTTAGCTTAATTTTTAAATTTTTTTGAAAATATCCTAGTAATTTTGATAGTCTCTTTTATAGTTTTTTTATTTTATTGTAGAGGGCCACAACATTATTAGTATAGTTTTTGCTATTTAGTGCCACCCTCGTTAAATAAAGGATTTGTTATTATTATTATTATTATTAATGTTATTATTATTATTATTGTTATTATTATTATTACCTTCGGCCGCTTTTGAAAGGAAATTAAAGTTAATCCTAAATCCTTGGATTTGAATTATAACAAGATCAGTCAACTTGTAATTTATCAGCCGTTCATATAAATGAGCAGTAAGTAGTTTGCCGATTAGTATATGTAATAGGACTCCCTGCTGTGGAGGAAAATTAATAAATGTTAAACAGGGAGCAGCTGGGCTCAAGAAGAAGAAGGCACTTTCTAGCTTACTTCCTGTTTTTCCTATTAGACCTGATTCTCGTGGTGGCATATTTTTCTAATACAGACCACGTGTCTTTGCCTAGAGCATCATTTCTTTGTTTAACGGTTGCATATGAGAAGACAAATATGGATACAACTCAAACAAAGAATCTTATTCAAGCATTTCTTTTCATTCAAGATGTAGTTAGTCTAAAATGATTCAAGGCATGTTAATTTGAACTGGAAAAGAAATAATACCTGTTTCACGTACAAGAACAAAATATTATGGCATTAGAGCTTTTTCTATTTACGCACCGAGACAATGGAACACACTCCCTGAGAACATTCAGTAAGCAAAATCATTAAACTCTTTTAAAAAGCTTTTAAAAGCATTTCTGTTTGAACATGATGTTAAATTTCAAAAACAATGAACTATTATTTACTTATTTATTTTTATAATGTTAATTATTTTTATTATTATTATTTTTTTATTATTATTACTACTTTTTTTAAAATACATATTTAATTAATGTATATTTCTATAAGTTTTCATTTTGTTTATCTGTTTCAATATTGAATTATTATGTATTTTTCTTTTATGCTTTGTAAAGCGTGTTGAGTTTTTTGGAACACGCTATATTAAGAATTTATTTTATTATCATCATCATCATCATCATCATCGATCATCATCATCATCATCATCACCATCATCATTATCATCATCATCACCATCACCACCACCATCATCATCATCATCATCATCACCATCATCATCATCATTACCATCATCATCATCACCATAATCATCATCATCATCACCACCGCCATCATCATCACCATCATCATCATTATCATCATCNTATTATTATTATTATTATTATTATTATTATTATTATAATGGAAATGTTGAGAATTCCGTTACTAAACTGCCTTCGTAGGAGCGTATCTACTATGGTTAATCGACCCACCCTAAATGGCATTTACGAACCCCTCAATTATAACATTTTCATTATCTCGGCCAAAGAAACTGGAAGCGTCTTTCAGTTTTCTTCTTATTCACTGTTAGCCCATCACAAATCTACTGTTCTTTTTTTGGTTAGTCAAGCTGCATTTCTTACACCGTCTTTTTCTTTTTCATTTTGGTAAACCAGTCAAAAAATCTACAGTCATTGTTTATTATGACGGTTCGAACCCCGCTCAATCCCGCCCCTACTTCGTTGCCAAAGCACATTTTACGACGTCCAATCGGCGCGCGCGTACTATCCTAACTATATAATAAATAGCCATATTGGAACTCGTTTAAAGACCGGCCCTTTCAGCATTGAATGCTCAGTCATTCGTGACAAGCGGTAAAAATAAATTTAATTTAGCACATAGCTTCATATTGAAACCTTTGTGCGTGACATAAAGCATATCTCGGAGGTGGGCTATTGAGCTGCATTAGGTGTATCCTACCGCCAGAACATCTATATAGCTAAAACTGGCGCGAAATGTCCCACATGGAAGAAGAAATGGTGAATAACCTCCGGTCAAAAGCAACAGTTCTATAGTTTCCAACTCTAATCAGAATTCGAATTCAAACGACCTAGAATGGAGACTTGGTATTGACATAACCATCTTTGTCGTTGCTGTTATTGGTAACCTTACGGTCCTTGTGGTCATTTACACTACCAGAGAACGACGAAAGACACCATTCGAGATCCTCATTGCTAACCTCAGTGTAGCTGACATCCTATCCGTGTTGCTATACTTTATAATGTATTACTTCAACATACCACTTTCAAAATGGTACTGCCAACTTGTAGGGCCATTTTTCTCCAGTACCCAAATGGTGAGCGTGCTTACCTTGACGACTATTGTAATATTTCGATGTCGATCCATTGTTCATCCTTTCGAAACAAAGCCCTCCACCAAGTTAACGTATTGCAGTGTGACTGAAGGACAAGGACTGAAGGACAAAGACTGAAGGACAAGGACTGAAGGACAAGGACTGAAGGACAAGGACTGAAGGACAAGGACTGAAGGACAAG